TGCACACTGGGATGCTCTTCAACACTCGGCCAGGAAGTGGATAGCTCTGCTTTAGGCATCACTTTCTGCTCCTGCAGATCCTCAAGGTCAACCTAAGGTGAGAGCTTAGGAGGTTCTCAGGTCTTTCCTGAGCAGATGTACAATCCTTGGCTTATGCAAAGCCCTATGCATGTACATCATCATCTAAGTTGCCAGGAATGTCAGTACCTTCAAGGCCCCTATTAGATATCTCATCCTCAGCTTTTCTTATAAGTTTTCGTTAGGCTTTTGTTTGCTCTGATGGTTTTCTATTGCTTTAGGCAGCCACAACTGCCTTATTTTTTCTTCTTTTTGATACATGTTCCCTGTGGAAAAGGCTTTTCACACATGGCAAGCGCTGATCAGGCAAAATAAAAAGACAGCCTTGCAGGTCAATCTTCCAGGGTATCACCAGAAAAGTCAAATGCTGACAATTCTCTGGGAGTAAGGCACTGGAGGAGCTCCGGCTGCGTTCTGCCGCCTCCAGGGTTGCCCATCCCGCTGCTTCTGTCTTCACTGTGGACTGTTGGTTTTCAAGGGTATGTAGAGGCTGGTTAATGGAAATAGGGCACGCTAAAATGCCTCAAAGTTTACTATTCTCACTGAGACTCAGCTATTTCTCTTGAATAAATATTCCCTGGACTGCTGCAAGCCTTTGGTTAATTTCCAGAGTTCTGAAAAAAGTTGATTCTGACAATTTTTGCCAATTTTCTCCTTGCTTTTATGGAGAGGTAACTTTTTGGAGGTTCCTGCTCCACCATTTTTGCTGGATTTAAGTATTTAATGTCCTTTTATTTTTCTTAACAAAATGAACCCGGTTAGAACAATGAAGTCACTACTACTAACATTTCTAGACATTCACATGGTTCAAGCTCAATTCTGTAAACAGTAGCAACTGTAGAACAGCCAGACTGGATATGAATTTTAGAAATGTTCGCACTCTAAATGAATGTTGTCACAATTCTTTTCAGTGGTCAGACTAGGAGTTTTAGGAAATTCTTTCATTATACAAAAAGAGAGAGAGAAAGAGGGAAGGAGGGAGGGAGGGAAGGAGGAAGAGGGAGAGAGAGGGAGAGAAAAGAAGGAAGGAGGAAAGATGGGATGGAGATAGGGGAGGAAGGGAAGAAAATAAGGAGGGACGGAGGGAGGATGACCGATCTTTTCAGTCTCTCAAAATCATTACGAGACTGGGGAGGATGGGTGGGAAGGGATAAGGGGGGGAAAGAAAGGGGACGTTATTAGCATGTATAATGGGGGGGGGCACGGGAGGGCTGTACGACACAGAGAAGACAAGTAGTGACTCTATAGCATCTTACGATGCTGATGGACAGAGACTGTAATGGGGCATGTGGAGGGGACTTGGTGATGGGGGGAGCCTAGTAAACATAATGTTCCTCCTGTAATTGTAGATTAATGATACAAAAAAAATCATTACGAGAAACAAAACCTGATATTCTTTAACACAGATAGCAGATAACCCACACTCAACTGTAAGGTGAGTGGGGGAAAAACCCTGGCCAACCCTTGCAAGTCTCTTAATTACACGGAGAAATGATCTCCAAATGCTCCACCTTCTGCCCAGCCACCACACTGGGCTGCCAGTATTTTTCAGTCTCCTAAGGGTAAGGGACCACCACACAGTCGTGCTTCAAAGAGAACTTCCTAGGCTGCAAAGCAGCATCTTTTCCTAGCCAGGAGTAACAGCCACTCAGCTGTGATCAGTCCTTTTCCTAGAAACACTCGCATCACTTTTGGATCCATTTTATTAGCTGATGACACAGGAAGATACTTCCTGAGTAAGGACAATGAGATTTGAATACATTATAGACAGACATAAAGCTGTTTTCAAGAATATAGAATTTTATGAAGATTCCCTCTGTTAAAGAGAAGGCAAGATACTTACTGAATTCCTGGAGAAATGTAGGACAGCACCTCATTGGGAGTAAGTAGGGGTTGGTGGAAACCACAAATATAATAAAAGCGTAATGAAATGGCCAAGATTATGTAAGGATACATTTTTAAGTAAGATTCCTAGAGAGTACATTTACAAGTCTGTGAAATGAATCTACATCTCAATATTTTAATTACATCAGGTTGTGTTAGTGTTGACCTAGATAGGAATCCATGTTCATAAATCACCTGAATAAAAATGTTTTGATTTCTGCTGAGGCAATGTATTGTGTTTAACATTTTTACAGTAAAGACAAAAATGTCTGATTCTTCAAGAAACAGAAAACCTCATTTTACTTTAACAATTTTAAAACTGGCTTTGAAAGTCCCCGGAGATTACAAAATTGGTATGTATTTTAGGGAAAACTATACGGGAAGCCTCATAAGCCATCTGGCATTGAAGCTTTTTTTCTTAGACTATAAACATTTTAATTCATAATGCTAAATTGGAAGAAGAGTGAGATGTACATTCAACTAGTTGCACAAGCCAGAGTGTGACAGGTTGTGAGTGCTGAGCATGCTGGTCAGAAGATATTTAACGCATATTTCACTTTTGCAGAAGAGAAGGACCAGGGAACAAAGGGCCTCATTACTCTTCTCTGTTAACCAGAGTGGGTCCTCCACCAGCCAGGCCTCCTTTGTGTACAGGTCATTTAAAAAATTTTAAAGTGTGCTCAAAATATATATTTTATTCACTGAAGATGCAACTGTCATGTACATAATCTTATGTCTACATGTTATATATTTGAGGATTTTAGTATGATAACAAGTAGGCATTTTGAAGAACACTTGCAGGGTAATCCACTTAAAATGACCCCACTACACTATAAGAAGGCTTATGCCCAATAGGGCACCCTGGATTTTAAAATACACCATTAACCACACATCAGATTATTGATGTAAACTTACCTGAACAGACTATTTTCCAATTAACTCAATTTTTTCTTTTGCATTATGATAACTGCATGAAATATTTCTCACCTAGAATAACTATTGCTCCAGAAAACACATATATAGCTTTAGAATTTTCTGTAAAGCTGTGAATGCAATTCAAATACATAGCATGTAGGCAAATTTTTTCATCTGCAACATTCCTTTATAATATCAAAAGGTTAGGAATGACATCAGTGAATCCAGTACAAAATCTTTATAATGAACAGCACCAGGGAAGCCAAATGACAAATTTCGATTTTCATCAATTTAAGCTGGGTGCTACCCCAAGGGACAAGGATTGAGACTGCCTACAGGGTTGTCTGCCCAGCTTGCTGCTGGTGTTCAATGCACACTGTTTATAATAGGTACTGAGAGGAGCTTGGACTGGTAAGTGTCTCTACAAAATTTCAAAAAGTTAAAACAAAAGTACTACATATTCTTATCTCAGTGAGGACCCTGAATATCAGGTCAGCATATTCCACAGCTCCATTTTAAGACATGACTGTAGAGGATGAAGTAGAAAGATGGTGAAATATATTTAATGTCGCTTAAATGATAGGCAGCAGCCACGTAGGTCTGAATTGCATTTGTGAAGTTTCCTGCCACATTTTTCACCTGCCAATGTATATATACATGTAGAGGTTACACTAAAACTTCAATTATTCCAAAGGATGAAAGAAGTCATATATTTTTTATATAGATCTTCAGTTCCTATTATACTACAAGCCTTTGAAATGTTAAGGCTGAACAGGCCACGTTATGAAAGGGACAGGAAGAAGTATGCACAGGGGAAAGAGCTGGAACACATGGTAATGCTCTGCCTTCACCATTCCACGTGCATCGTCTGTCTGCTTTCCGGGCAGCAGGTGGTATGACTGAAAAGAGCACACATTTGTTACTAACCATGTAGGATTTTTAGCACTGTTAGAGCCTAGCATTTAGGGCAGCTAATAAAATTCCATAAACCAAATTTTTACAAGTCTGAAATTTTTTAAAAGTAATTTTCCTTCCAATTAAACCTTCCTGGTTCTTTTAGTCTTGCCTTAGAGAAAACTCTATAATTAGAATGAAAAAAGAATCCCTTCACAGCAACCAGATGAGCAGCAAGCCAACATTAAAATGCACTCCTTTCAAAGGAAGAGCAAATACGTGCTCCTCCATTAAGAGCGTGTCTTCTGTCAGAGTGTAATCTCATATAATTCCCATCTATGGTTTTTTGGAAAAGTCCAAAGTGGAATTTGGACCTGCTTTTCCTGTGTTTTCTCAGTGGTATCTGGACAACAGTGTGTTAAGTATTTATGAAGCCATCAAAAAGAAGATAATCTAATGCACCAGGTATTTAAATAAACATGCACAAGTTGTACTTAGAATCACCCTGCTAACATCTAGTATAAGTAGCCAAAGCCTGTTTTTCACATGTAAAAATAATGTTTCAAAGTTATATAAGCTGAATCATAAACCCATCTACCAAGAATTACTGAAGGTCATATTTTGATGTTTTTTTCTCCCCTTTTCTCATAAGCCACAAAATGTTTAAATCTAGAAAGAAAAGGATCAGATCTTTTAAAGTCTCAAATATTCCTCAAACTTTTCTCATATGAAAAAAATCTTACCAGGAAATACAGTTTCAAAAATTAGTTTTCTATAAATAGTCTTTCAAAATAGGAGTATATTTCATTTACAGCCTACATTTTTATTTTCAAAACCCCTCACGAAAGTCTCTTAATACATCGCAAAATTTATACACAAAGCTGTGACTTTCCGGGGGGTGTCTGCGAGGACTCCTGTGGAGCCACATGACAACTGGAGTCTAACGTTGTCGCCAACTTGGGCGGCTATTCAATACTATTGATGCTGTGGGGTTCTCTAATGTTTGTTAAAAATATGGAGCATAATCTCTGGGAAAGAAAGAGAAAGGAGAAGATCAAAAGTGTCATTGAAGGTGTATGTGTTCAAAAGTTAATTTGGCTGCATAATCAAGTTCTAGTTCTTCAGGGAACTGAAACTTGCTTTAAATTAGACCTGGGGAGGCACATCACACTAAACAGTTCGTGTATGAGATACAGTCACATAAAAAGAAAAACACAGAAGACAAAGGGTCCTTAATTTTCGGGAGGATATATTCCAACTTGGGGAAAGGGGGAAGGCATTTTAGCTCTGAGGCTCAATCATGACATTTCCAGAGAGTTCTGCAGTCTCCCGTATTTGACAGGACAGGATGTAAGGGCCTGTTTCTCTTGGTGGGACTATCCTATCCTTCTGCTGCACAAACCATATGCGATATGCAGGCGACTGCAGCGTGAAGCTGGCAACACTCCGGAGGCTCTTGAGTGTCTATCAACTTGGTAGGTCAAAGGTCTGCAGACACTGGGTGGAGCAGCAGTAAGCCACGAAACTAACAGTTGTCCTCCTGGAAGGGGAAAAAAGGCAGAGAAAAGCACTGTGAGTTCAAGATTAAAGTTTCAGGATTCTTTTCATTAGACAGTCTTATTCTTTGTTAAAATAAAGGATTAGACATGGTCAACAAAGTACGCAACAGAAATGTAAATCTTTTAGAATCGAGCACTGGAATCAGGTTGAGGTACGTGTAGGCTTGTTTTATTAGCAGTTTTCAGATGACATAGTATGTCTACGTTAGCTAAGGAAAAATAAGCCTTTTTAACATTATGGTCTGAATTCTGCCTACTAGAACCAAACATGCAATGATAAAATTTGAAATATATTATAAAATTATGTAACAGGAAACTTTATCAATTAAGCTACCACACATATATATATCAAAGAGCTTAAAAAAATGTAATTTTAAGGAATTTATCCTACAAAAGCATTCACACAGACTGCCTGTAGAGGTACTTTCAGAATCTTAATAATTTAGTTTGAGGGTCTCCTTCCCACATGGCATTGGAATCCCATCTCAAATTCCCGTTTGGCACCTTTCCACAGTGAGTCACAAGCCCTCTGACCCGCTCTGGACAGCTCCAGCTGTTAGATGCCTTGTTTTCCCACCAGAAGTGCTTTCCTCTGGTGAGGAAAGAATAATTTACTGTTGTTTTCACAAGACTCCCTGTGCCAACTGTTTTCTATTTCTCCACCCCTTAATCTAGTCTCTGTCTTTCTCTGTAGCCCAGGAGGTGACCTCTACAGTCCCTACCACCAAAGCCTTTTGATTGTTGGCTCGTGACTGGATCAGGCTAGTGGGAGGCACAGCAGGAGGGTGAAAAGCAGGAAGAGAGAAAGGCTGAATGTTTCTCCTTTTATTAAAGTCTAATTAATTGAGGTATATTAATATACAAACATACAATAAAATTCACCCATTTGAAGTGTACAGTTGAGTTTTGAAAAATATGAGTGTCTAACTAATGCTACAATCAAGATACAAAATATTTCCCTTATCCCCAAAATTTCCTTGTGTCCATTTGCAGCCAATCCTGCCCCCAGGTCCCCCCAATTCTCTGGCAACCATTGATCATTTTGTTTCTCTGTGGGCTTTGATTCTATTTCCCTGGCTCCAACAATCTTTCAAAACAAACTTTGCTACCATCTCATCTTGTTAAATGCTTTCAAGGCAAGAGCTAGCCCTACCTCTATGGGTTTTCTTGTCTTAGATTTCTGGACCAATCCTGGATTCCCTTACCAACTGGCTTCCAGCTAGGTTTGGCTGATGGATAAAGCTTCCCTGGGCTGAGGCCTCTCCTGTATGACTCACTGGGCTCCAGCAACACTTTTTAACACTTCACCAGGCAGTTGACAACTCTGCCTTAGCCTTCACTTCCTGTTTCTATAGAGCCTCAGAATCAACCAGCAGGGACTTCTCGGGCCTTTTCTGAGCATGCTCACATACCTGTGACGTGCCCTTACAGACTCCCAGGAATATGTTAGTGCCTTTCAAAGCGCCTATGGAGACCTCATTTCTGCAATTTCCTTTTCAGCCTTATGGTCATTCTATTGTTTGCCCCAGCAGTTACCCACTATCTCATGTAGCTGTGAAGTTAAGCAATTGCTTATAAATGTTTTGACAAGTTTTGACACCCTCAGAAAAGAAGCTTTTTGCATTGGTGAGCTCTGACCAGGGCCCAATAAAGACAAGTTTGCAAATGAGGTCTTTCAGCAAACTTCCCAACAGGACAAATGACAGTGCTATGCAAACAGGCCTTTGAAAAAACTCAACTCCCTTCATTCCCTGTCCAAGCTGCTGGTTTTAACTGTGATGGCAGATTCTTGGTTAAGACTAGAAGACAGAACTGTGATGAGTTAATTACAAAGTTCTCTGTTCTTACTGAGGTTCAGCCACTTTTCTGGGATAAAGGCACTCCAGATTGCTGTAAGCCTTTCGTTAATTTCCAGAGTTCTGAAAAAATTGACTCAGATAGTATTTGCCAGATTTCTCACTGCTTTTATGGAAAGGTTGAATAGTAGTTCTATTCCACTCCATCTTTACTGCTTCTCTAGACCAGAGCTCCTGTTTGTCGGGCCTCCTTTGACAGCTCCGTTCTCAGCAGCCTCCAAGTCTCCCTTTGTCCCTCAGGCTTCAGGATTAAGGATGGCAAATCTTCCTACTGTTCTAAGTTCCCAAATGTTTTTATCATCCTTATGGGTGCTCTGAATCCTGCCTAAACTTTTTATAAATAGTTCCTTGCCATTAATTTCTCTTCAAAACCCCAGCTTATGTGTGTTTTCCAGCCAGTACCCTAACTGATTTAGTATATATTACAAGGAGGGGCCTATGGTGATAGTCCATCAAAGTGGAATTCTGGGCTTGGGTTGGTTTGAATGGTTTCCTTCCTTGCTAGGAAATGTATGAATGGTTTCCTTCCTTGCTAGGAAAAAATGGGACACTGTTAATCTGTAGTATGCTGTGGCATATGATTACTCAAAGTATCACTTAAACAGATTGCCAATAGAGGGAAAGGAGTGGGAGATCAAGTGTGCTGTGGCACTTGATTTTTGCTATGGCATCATTGTAAATTAAAGAACTGGAGTGAAATGGCCTCTCTGACTGCTGAAGAGATCTCCCCCCTGCCAAAAGAAGCTTAATGCCTTGAACTCTCACCCCAGAGGTAGAGGATCAGAAACATTTCAATGGTGGCCTTAAAGGAATTCTTATTTTATGAAGCCTGAGGCCTGAATATACAGGTTCAGAGTCACATGGCAGGTAGAGGTAGATTTATGTAAAATCTCTTATGCTAAGATAAAGGCGCTGGTTGGGAAGGGGTGGGAACTTGACATGAGACCAGACCCTTGTGCAGACACAAAGCTAAGAACCTTGAACCTCTAATATCTCTAAATATTTCTTCACATCTGAAATAGCCCTTCTTACCTTCTAAGAAAACTAGCATTCCCTTGCATAAAAATATTTTTCTGACTTCATCTGGGGTGGTTACTTCAAAAGGAAATGTTTATTTTCTTCAGAACCCACAACAACAATATTCACTGCCTCTAGGGCCATAAAGAAAGTAAAATTGAGATATTAATTGCAAGGCCTGCTCTGGGGAAAGGTAATGTACATAAAGATGTAGGAGCTTGCTAAGTTTTATTTGAGCAGGAACCTGGACAGCAAGCATGGAAATAGATTCTAAGTACATTAGCCAGCAAGAATAAATCTAAGGTTGGATCAGGCCAACAAGGGTGCTTCACAGAGGCCTCACAATTTAGTGTGTTAGCCCAAGCACCTGTAATAGTTAATAGAAGTCTTGACTCAGTAGAGACCTACTGCCAATGAGAAATGCCAGAACTCCCAGTGCATTAGAGACATGGGAACTTTGAAGTGAATCCACTGTAGTGCAACCTGCTCAGCCACCTCCTGATATCCTCTGGGAGGGTCAGGAAGACATTCCCTTCACCAAGACATTAGAAATGCATTAGTCAGGCAAATTCCAACTGGAAGTAGCAAGCATACCTGACACTTCATTTAACAAATACCTACTAGAGGTGAGAGAGAAATCCTTCAAAAGTTCAGATGTCTGCTGAATGGATAAAATTTCAAATGGGAAAGAAGATTTATATCCAGAACTGTTCCCTATGAAGAAACAGATACACACTTGTGGGACCCTTTGGATTTTGGAGGCAAAATATATTTGAGTGGAAATTTTCAGTTGTGCCAATATGGAATAGCCCATTCCTCCCAGGTCCTTCCTCTTAAGATTAAAACATCCTGTACATAACACAACAAACAAGATTGGAAGACTGTGAGAGATAGAATGAAGGTGGACAGCCTAGAGATCTTGGGACCTGAGAAGCAGCACAGCGACCTTAGGTTTCCTTATTGACTCCCATATACCTTAGAGAGGATGTTGCAGAAGCCTCCAACCTGGGACCACCAACAGGCACAGACCAAACCAAACCAAACCAAACCAAACCAAACCAACCCAACCCAACCCCTCAAGTAAAGCCTGACTTCCCTTGCCAATGGACTGGGTCAAAGAGATCTAGAGATGAAAAGTAAGTAAATAGTTAGGGCTGGGTATAAGGGAATAGTGAGATGTTAACTAAAGGGTACAACATTTCTTTATAGTAAGAAAAATGTTCTAAAATTGTGGTGATGGTTGCACATATCTGTGAATATAGTAAAAACTACTGAATTATATATTTTAAATGGGTGCATTATATGATACATGGGTCACATCAATAAAACTGTTAAAAAATAACAGTGCTGAAAGGATAGACAAAATCACAATTAGTGTGGGGACTTCAACATCCCACTCTCAGCAACTAACAGTACAAGACAGAAAATCAGCAAAAGCATAGAACTGAACAACTCAATAGACCAAAGAACCTAACAGAACACTCCACCCAACGAGAGCATAATACATGTTTTTCCCCACAAATGCCCACAGAACATTCACCAGGATGGACTATATCCTAGGTCATCAAATAAACCTCAACAAATGTGAAAGAACTGAAACTGTACAGAGGACACATGTGATTTCATTTCTGACATATATGGAGTCTAAAAGTCATCATTCTTGTTCTTATAACAAGAATAAGCTGAACAAATTGAAAATCAACAACTTCTCTTTCACCCACCAGAGAAATGAGGTTGTAGAGTAAACTTCAACCTCAAAATCTGGAGAGACAGGTGAATCTGGAGATTCACAGCTGAGATTTGCTTACCTAGAGATGCTTCAACAGTTGTAGACTGAATGTGGACTAGCCTGAGAGTGAGATACTCCTGGGGCTATAATCTTAGGGTGACCCCCCACACATTCCTGGGTTTTACCTACAGAAACCCTATAGGATGTCATGGTGAAAACCCAAAAAAGATCCCCTTGCAGCTCTGTCAGGAAGAGGGAGACAGCAGTTAGTGTGTAACATGTCCAGCATCTTTCATAACAAAGGATCTTCAAGGGAAGAGTTTACGAGAGTCTTATCCCAGCTGGCAAAGGGCAATCTTCCCACTCCAGCCCCTTCTAG